TGAATTAAAAAGTGTAACACTATTCTTGTTTCAAAAACTCGTTAAGCATCTTTACTGAATCGAACCTTTGCTGACAGTTTTAAATCTTAATCTAATGAATTCCATAAGTTTACCATCCTGTATTGGAATGTCCTCTGGCCAGCAGCGGTTTTACAAGGAATGTTACAAGTTTTAGTTTACAAGGAATGTTAAGTTGTTGTGAGTTTCTTGCTTTGCGGTCAGGTATCTGTCCTCTTTGATGTCAGGTAAGTCGGGGCGCAGCCCGTCATAGACTAAATGAATAGCAGAAAAGATAGCATCGCGGAGATGAAGCTGCATTTTTACGAGGAGCTACCCCAAGTTTTTGAGTGATGGAGTTATGTGTTTAAATTTCCTTGCACAAGTAGCTATCCGAGTCGCGAAGTTCTGGACGAGTTGTAATTTTTGTACATTACGGGTAGAGGTTTTAGACAAGACTGAGGAGCAGTAGTGTAACCTACTAAAAACAAGCGCATTTATGATGGTCACTAATAGGTCGGGGTTAAATGCGCGCTTTGCTCGATTAATCTGAGCCAATTTACTCATGCAAATAATAAATTACAAACTGTTCTGAGGGCTTAATATGCGCGTCTAAGTGTAAGCAATTTATGCTCGATGTCTGGAAAACGCGAACAGTGTAATATTCTACCCTGGGTATCGTTATTCATGACATGGTAATAAGTTATGGGGAATCGCTCTGGCCCTGGACAAGCCCAAGACCAGAGATCAAAGAGCTGTTAGAGCTTACTTCTGAATGCAATTTAGGGCTTTTTCCTGTTTCCATTCTTACTGATGAGAGAGAGTGCTTGAAACAAGGAGTGCGGTACATGATGGTTACACGTGTGAGTAGGTTAGATAGCAAGTGTTCTTGCACGAATATTCAGTACTCAAGCTACGCAAAAATTGGGGCAGGAGCAAAAAATTGACAAAGCTATCTACAACTCCTTATTTTTTTTTTCTTTTTTTTTTTGCTCTCCCCGTATTAGCTCGGACTTTACTCGTTTGCACTCTGCTGTGGAAACGCTTGGAAACAAAAATTGACTCTGGAAACAATGTTTCCCGTATGGAAAAACTAAGAAAAGTTGAGGAAACATGCACGCATTATATGAATGTTTCTGGAAACACAGGAGAAACATGATTCCTTGTTTTATTGAAACCGACAGGCGTAAAAATTATTCGTGAAAGGTACCGGCAAAGGGGAGAAAGCAATCTAGGGCCATGATGACATGAAGAATAATACTATTACTATTTGACCTTCAGAGCCTGTCAGAGCTGTATGGCTGCAGTTAGTTAGATCATGGAAGCCTCCAAATGAAGCTTCATTGCGTTAAATCTTTTTCAGTCAATCAGTGAGAAACACGGTTTGCCGATCATCGAGATCGAAGCTCGAAATGCTTGTCAGACTAAACTGCCACGTTGTGTACATTTCCTAAGAATTAAATAACCAAAAAACATATTTTTTATGTCACAACTCTTCAAAGTCTGGGAGCTTTTAATTTCTTTTCGTAGTGTGTTCACAACGTCAGGAGGTAGGGTTACCCTCTCTCCTACCTCCCTAGTGCTAGGGTTGCCTAGCACTCCCACCGTTTCTCGTTTTTTTTCCATGGACCTGTTTATAAGGCAGGTAGGGTTACCATGACTCTAGGATAGCCCTAGCTGAGAACTAGGGTTAGGGCTACCTTAACGCCAGGGTAACCCGACCTGCCTTGTAAACGCTCCAAGAAGCAAAATATGATAAAATACAGGCAAAATAAGCAAATTGTGACTCAAGAAACATCGTACGTATTAATTCAGACTTTGCTTAAGTTTTGCTTTGGATTGAAAAGGTTTCAAATAACGGCTTTTTGCGACCACAATTTTTGCAATAATGTTTGTCGCTACTTCGTCCACTGTTCCTAAAATATTCATTGCAGAATTGTGTATAGTTTCGCTGTCAAATTAATCCCAAACTAAAGAAAAATAACTGTCTGGGATTTAAATTGAGCTTAGAAATTGAAACGATTTGATCAGTGAAACTGAAAAATTGAAAATAGCTTTTGGCAATACAATCATATTATCGGTTGCGTGTGTTAGTGTCCAGTTGCGTGTGTTTTAAATTTACGAAGTGCTCGCTGCTCGTTATCAGGTATTTTCTAAAATGCTCGCTGTTTGCAAGGCAAATTTGATCCCCGCTCGGGCTCGCAAAAATAAACGCATGCACTGCTCGCATGCTCACAAATGCTCGCAAAGACCATTCGATACCCCTAACAATTTCTTGTTCCACTTTGATACCATATATCATATCATAAGCCGCCAGACATTCATTTCTCAGAAAATGGAAGCAACGTACCCAGTGACGAAAAGTTATTTTAAGTTCATCGAAATCCCATGCAAAATACCGTCGAACCTCCGGTTGCAACTACCTCTCTTCAGCGACCAGTTTTCCAAAATACCAAAATTTTCCAAGTCAAATCACTATATTTGAAAGCTCATGTAAGCGACCACCTCTCTTAAGCGACCGCGACCACATCCTTTTAGAGCTAAAAGTTTGAAATTTTGTTTTGTTTTTAACTCCCCGTGAGCGAACAGTGGACGGATAATTGAACGAAAATTGGATAATAAGATGTTGTATCATTCTCGCATTCCTGGATGTGCAAGGGACGGAAATTTCTCAAGGGGAAGTACCGGATTTTTTTCTCAGAATCGAGTTTTCACATGAATAGAGCATTTAAAACAGGGGTAAATCTCCTCAGTCACCTTGTGCTGATGAGGCAAAATTTTGACCAAATATGGTCTAAGCTCTCGTAAGCGACCACCTTCCGTATGCGACCACCTAGGCTTGTCATTTTGGCTGGTCGCTTACGGGAGGTTCAACTGTATTAATAACTGCAGAGATAAGATTTTGAAATAACTCCGCCCGCCCCACTGAAATACGGTACTCCTAGAACTTGTAAAGCACTGTAAGCAACGAAAACCAAATCTTCATTACCTTGTTTTGATGCACAACTTCAGCTTAAGTTAACCGAGGTTATAAGTGGAAAAAAAAAGACAAGATAGAAAAAAGAAAACAAATCTCTATACAGTAAGTACCTTAGATTAGCGGTTGCAGATCACACTTCTATGTTGTTATGATAGCAGAAACCGAATTGATGCTCTTTGCTGTAGTTCAGTCTACTTTCGTTTGACAAAGACACATGTTCGCGTTTGATTTTAGCTAGCTATCTGTCATGAATGTCATATTACGAGCAGCTGACCATGACAGCTGAAGAAGAAAGGAGAGAAATTTTAGCTGCCGAGCTAAGAGAATTCGCAACAAGAAGCCTGAAGGCTTTCACGCGGAATGCTTTGGTCGATGTGCTTATGCCTTCAACTTTGAATGGCTATCTGCGTAGAAATAAATCCAAACGGAAACGATAACATTCAGCTTTGCAGTTGTATTTCTTCAACAAAAAGATAACAATGTGGTTTGCGTTAAAATTTGTATACATTTGATACTAAGAGCACCGACACTAATTCTCTTAATAAGAATATTGTTTTTCCAGCTGAGGCTGGTTCGAATACCGAATCAAATATCAACTCGTAGAAATCGAGAGCGAATAATCTATTTGTTTTAGTAGAAGTCCAACTGAAATTAACGCAAATAATGGTTTCCAATTATTTTTCTACGTATTATTAAATTTTGAACTTTATCAAAATCGTACGGACTGAATTGCCATTGGAAATTTGCAGTTGTCTACGCGCGTGCACCCGTGTTTTCAATAAATTCAAGTTTTCAAAGTCAAGAAACCGTTAATGCCCTTTATCAGTCTTCTCAGAAATTTAATTATCCATTTACATCTAAAATTTCCTCCAAAACGTCGGGAAAAGACTGACAGCCGCTGCGCTGTAATTATAATGCCTGAAGTGTACGAGTAGCTCGGTCAATCAGATTGCAGCATTTGCATTAGTATACTACTAAGATTCTACTAATTAAGAAATAGAAACACAGAACTAGCACGAGCTGTATATATTTGCTGCAAAGTTAACTGGAATGGATCGGGTGATCGAGCGAAATTCGAACCCATAACAATTGCCATTCAGAAGCAAAGAGGACATTAGGTTGTAACATTATTTTAATCAGCAAGAGTATATACAATCTGTTTGCATAGGTAAAAATTTAAACATAGAAAATCTACTATATATAAAATAAAAAGTTTTGAAATTTCTGGGCTTGTTGCGTGTCAATCAAGAGTACGCTAAGTCAATTTCCGTACCATCTTGAATGGCTTTCTGATCAGGCCTTCGAAGGGCATAAAGTCTTGCACTTCCAAAGCGCTAACGATCTACCAATACATTACTGCACCAAAGGTATTGAAAACTGATTTATCCTAATAGTTAGAAAATCGTTTGTCCAAAGCCGAGTTTCATCCGGATACTGGACATCGCTTTGTGAATCTGTTCTCTCAAACCTCAGCAGGAATTAAATCAGAACGATGCTTGCATGTCGGGGAGCCGCCACCAACAGTAGAAGTAACCGTTATTTTCCTTCCGGGTGGCTCCTTCATTGACAATGAAGTCGATGGTGTAACAACCTCGTACTTGTTCTGCCGTGACGCTGTCTTGGGATAACCAGTTCGGGAATCAGTCTCCGTCTTTCGAACTCGGAGCCCTTTACCAAGGAGCAGCCACTTCCATTGATTACGAACTTCTTGGTGCCTTATACAATGAAAATAAAATATCAAAAACCCTTGAAGCGAGTTGAATATACAGAACAGATAGTCGAAGACCAGCTGGGCACGTGACACAGCCAGCGCGCCAAACGCCCACGTGAGTCCCAACAGAATCAAAATGGCGGTCGCGGTGCGTACTCGCTGATAAGAGGTAGATTTTTTCTCCGCTGAAACCATAGCGCCTGTTCTGTTGAGCGTGCGTATAGCCAGGAAAAAAATGACGAAGTTGATGAGGATTATCAAGAGAATAGGAGCAAACTGGGCGGCGTGGAAGGGAACACCATAAAGAACACAACTGTCAAGAAATGAACGAAAGAGAGAAATTAGGTAACTGCAAAGAAACAAGAATAACAGCTAACACCGCAACAATCGTACCCAGATCTCACTCTGTTTGAGCTTGGCCCTGGGAGATCTGGATTCCAGATTACGGCATTTCTTGCCAATTTTCGCAGCTCACCGTTGTACTGACGTAATTTTATGAAAAAGGGAAGGACAGCTCTGGTCAAAGGAGTAAATTTTAATGTTTAACATTTTTATAATATAAATGTTCCGCTCAATTCTGTCAAAAACTGAACATTCACCTGAAACAATTTCTGCCGGTTGAATCAATTCAAGAGTGTGCAGTTGGACTTATTAGTGAATCGGATCTAGCGTCCTGTTAACTTTGAACTACTTTGCTTTTTCACCAACCACGAAAGAGAAGGCAATGACATCAACCATATGTTATTTCCCGAGGTGTTACTTTGACAAAATATAGGTAGGTAAAGTCTGCATATGAGCGAAGGGGTCCACCAGGCCGGAGCTTATCCCGGTCTCAGTAGCATGAAGCGACTAGGAGTATTTCCACTCCCCCCTGGATGGGATGCTATCCCCGACATTAAATTCGCCGGTACCCTTTATACACCTGGAACGAGAGAGGCACTGTGAGAGTAAACTGTCTTGGGCTCGAACCCAGACCGCTCGATCCGTAGTCAAGCGCACTAACCACGAGGCCACCGCGCCTCCACTAATAACGAATCCCCACAGTGATCGGACATTTCAACGAAAATATAGCCCCAGGGGTGTCCCCATCGCTAGTTCGAATTGAAAGAAGTACTTACACGTCTTCGTTGCCATAGTAACTCGTTGCCGAGGCGATAGTGATGAGCACAATGACACCAGGCACGCCCCAGGCCACCGCGGACGCCTTTAACATGAACTTTGATTGATAGGTAGCCATAACTTGTACAAAGGACATATACATGTTATAACCCTCCACTCCCATCCACATCACAGTCGCTAGAGCAAAGTAGTGAAGCAGAACCGCCACAATGCGACAGCCAATAAGATTCTCTGTCCGTGCTGCTCCCGCGATAAATACGATCAGCAGTAACATGAGCGCCACGCACAGGCTCATCAGGATTGGCTGCTGGTTAGTCTTACGTAAATTCCTGTGGGAGGGTGGGAAAGGAGAGTGTAAGCTGCTTAAGGTTAAAATGTTCTTACAAAATATCTCTTATAAGAAACCTATGTTGAATATTACTACAGTCTGGAGATCTACATGACAACTACAACGCTGTTTTTCAGTGTTCTAAGGAGTCTGTGTAATATAAAGGCAGCAAGTTTCACAATTATACAGTGCTTATTTCAAGAAACTGGTTAAAAGTTGTTTAGAAAGGAAAAACAGAAAATGTTCCACCACACTTTCACAAACCTGAACAATGCATATGTCATCAAGGTAAGGGTGAGTCCAACCAATGAAATTGCACAGCCCACGTAAGAGATGATTGACAGCGCCATGGCGTGTTTTTCGTCATGCTTCTTCGGACCAGACGCAGAGAATAGGACTGCAAAGTTAGTCATGTGATCACAGTGGCATTTTACCCGGCCTGCTTCATTCTTCATGAGCTTACAGCCTCGATCTGACCAGTTACCTAGGCCCCCTGCAATAACATGTTGAACACGTATGAGTTCAGACAGTGAATATTTTTGCACTTAACTGTTTTAACTTCACTCGCCTTGTACCATGTCACCCAAATTTCGAAAAATCACCTGCTTGTATAGGTCTGTTTCATCTAATGCCCAGACCCTGGCGCTGCCGGACTCTGGTCGCAGTATGCCTTTATCGCCCCCTTAATACATACAGATAAAATCTACCCAGAGGAGAATAATGTTTCCTAAGTTTGCCTAATGTGTTCTTATATATTTAATACCTACTGAGAAATAGACGATTTAGGTCTATAAAAAGGTTATAATTTATTAAGGGGGAAAGCACTTGTTACTCGCCAGAAAATGAAATTTAATATGGGTGAGTTCCCGTGCATTTATTCCATAAAGGAAGCCGTTTTAATTTTTATAGGCTGTAGCAGGCTTTTATGTTACTAGGGGGTTTTAATGACAAATTTTTGCCTATAGAATCTTATCCCACCAGGTTCTAGCCTTCTTAATTATACGTGATTTTTTGTTTTGCAGTACCCTCCACAAAGCATGGAAATAAGCTCGGCCTAACTGAATGAACAATATCGAGGAAACAATTTCTTACCCATAGCACTGAAGTCCCAAAATACACACACAGACTCTCCGCTTTCCAAATCCACTTCAAGTGCGGGCTCAAAAACAAGTTCAAGTGGTTTACTGAGGTTGTCAAACGTCATCTCCTGAACGCTGCTAGAAATAACTCGACTCATAACCGAAGAAGGCTCCTGTTCACTCTCTTCCTCATCCGGGACAACCGGTTGGAAAAACTTGTCATTCTGGTAAATCACAAAACCAATCTTCACCGTTTTACCGGAAGGAGTCTCCTTCTCAAAAATGACTTCCGGTAGCGTGATTGACGTTTGAACATCGGCCATCGGAAGTTCGTCGCTGACCATGCTATCGGACGTTAATTTGTTTGGGTCAGCGGTAGGTGATTTGACAGCAAGAGACATGCCCGAAAAAGAGCCTGGGTCCACACGGTTAGATTGGATCGCTACACTTGGAGCAACAAGGCGCCTTGAAGATTCCTTGTCAGACAGTGGAAGAGTTGTCGCTACTTTGTCCAACGCTTGAAGAAACCTAAAAGAATTAAAAGTGTTTTGAGTTACAACAAGAGAGAAGATAATTATTTCCCTGAATAAGGCCAGCTTTTCTCTTTGTTACTCTTAACTGGCGAAGAAGTCCATTACACAGTTTTTGCCATGCACAATTTAACAAATTGACGTCAGTTTTTCATGCGTCTGTCCTGCTATTGCTCATGAATTTCGTCATAACATTGTCAAAGTAGCTGTAGATCCACGAGGCGATAAATCCGCAATGGTGGTTCTCGATTTTTGACACATCGCACAAATTATAAATTCATGCGTCTATCCGCTTATTGACAATGAAAATTAGCCAATGATCGCGCGAGAAATTATACAGTTATCGCTAAAAGCCCATTTTTACAGTTCCGTGCTTAGTGGTCAGGTCTTTGAATGGAAGCGAGGCCAGAGTTGGCTTTGTTATGACACAAACCTTGTTACTTTTCTTGCTACTTTTTTTAATGCCATCACAAGGTCAACCCAAACCTGGATTCCATGCAAAGGCTGGGTTACAGTTCAAAGAACTTTAAAATGGTGTATTTAGCACACGGCAATAAAAAAAGTTTTTAACGTGACAAAGTTCCTTAGCAAAGCTGTTATAGTGAGCTATCGTTCTCTTATGTAGTCTTACTTGGAAGAAGCTTTATTTGATCGCTGGCTCTCTTGAAGATCCTCCTTCTTCATTTTCATCACATTGTCAATCACGTCCACAACGTCTTGGGCAGTCTTAAACAGAAAAACACACAAATGCATATTTTTAATTACTTGTAAACATATATGCTAATTGGCAGCAAGCCAGGTTACTTTTCATACCTCGTTCAACGAATCAGCCAATGAGACAACACTTCCTATGACGTCAGCAATCAGCACCGCGTCAGCCTCNTTTGAAATAAAAATTTAAAACAATTAGCCGTCATAGTTTACGTTCTCCAGACTACGCAGAATTTGGTCATTTCACGTTGACGTTTTGCAGAGGACGGCAAAGAAATGTACCAAGATTTATAACGCACGTGCACCGCCATTGTTCTGCTCATTAAACCTTTTGTTTAGCGACGTTCCCGTTGCCGTTATCGTTGTGGTTTTCTTAAGCTGCAGGGAATCTTTCTGACCTGTCAAGCTTTTCGTTCCTCGTAAAGGCAGCCTTGGATGAGGGAAGTGCTTATTTTCTGCGTTTATAATTTTCAATTTATCTTGCACTTGGGACAGAAACAACTAAAACGTACAATCTGAACAGCTGTTGGATACTCTCATTTAATTACTTTGTTTTTAATTAATTCATACCTTGCAACTTTCCAAAATATCCGTCAATGGATAACATGACAAGTAAAACAAGACATTTGGTGAGCATACTGAGTGATTTGCAGCAGAAAACAACAGCCATTTGAATCCGCAGTCGCTAGCTAAAGCTCGTTGTCCGAATCATTTAAGCGCGCAATCCATCAGCAGTTTTAACGTAACTGTTATGAATTAATAGATATTTTTCTTCATAAATAAATTAAGTGTAACGTTGGAAAAGTGATAAGATTCCAGCTAGGTGACCTAAATTTGGCGTTGAGGCCGGCGGTTCGAATTCTGGTGTGGGCACTTTTTTTTTTCTCCGAGCTACTAAAGGACGCTTTGCATTTATAAAAGAAAATTAAAATGTTTAAGAAATACAATCAATGTAATCATATTAAAAAATGACATGATGTTGAAATTTGAAAGACAGTCGAACCCCTATTAAGCGGCCACCCCTATTAGGCGGCCAGTCATCGATCAATGTCCGATGAGGGCTTTTCTACTGTTTTTACCACTGTTAAACGACCAACCCCTTTTAGGTGGCCACTATCCATTTCCCCGAGGGTGGCCATTTAATAGGGGTTGAACTGTAATTCGCGGTAGAAAAACACTTCTCGAGCACGAAACCCACGCACATGATTTTTGGCGAAGTTTTGGTTAAAAACCGAACGACATACTAAAAACAGCTCTTTTTTCGCTTCACGCAAAAACATGAGCAAATCACGGATTTTGAATATACCCGCACCACGCTCGTACACGCCTTGCACACAATCTTTCAATCGCTTGCAATTTTCTTTTCTCTAGAAATGGTTTCTGTTTCGTTTGCAACAGAGGAAAACTTACTTGCACTTCTAACAGTCACGCTCTTGCGTGACACCCGCAAAGGCTTGAGTGTGTTATCCATGGCGCTTTCATCAGCCAATAGCGTCTCGAGCCTACTGTAGTATGAAGTGAAGTCTTCACTCTTAGCTGAGCTGTAAATTACCAAGTCCACACCCACCTTACCAGACGAGTCCCTGCAGGTGTAAACAAATAAGATGACCGCCCCTTTGTAACTTAAACTTAAGCCCACTAAAAGGTATTAAGTCTGATTATGACAAAATGATCTGATTTCAAAAGGTTGTTCGCCACTTTCAAATCGAGAATAGACCTGGAGAAAGTCTAATGGCGCAGAGGCTTGTGGGACCGTTACTGGGGACAAAACAAAAGACGAGAAGCTATAACGATCCTACAAGCGACTGCGAGATGACACTCGGCCCAGATTTCTTCGCGCTTTCAAAGTGGCGAATGCAACAGTAGTAACATCGAAAAATGAGACGCGAATGACTTGAATAAATAAAATATTCATACCTGAATTGAACAAGTTTGACTTCATAGCTCCAAGCAGGATTTCCGCTATTGAGATAGTTTTGCAGCTGGAATAAAGAAGAATGAATGTGTCAAAAATAATCAAATTACCAAGGTCCTTACAAATTTAAGTTTGGGATGAGATTCAGCATCAGATTTCTGCATTGCGTTTGTTGTCTGCCGTTTGCACGTAAAAGAGAGCATTTTCGCATTCGATGTAAAGATGTGCACTCTCTTCAGTTTTTGTTATAAATTAATTAATTTAATGTCTAGAGGATAAGTTAACGGAATCAATAGCAAGCGTAGTTTTGTCAATTTTAGTAAAAGGTGCGGTGCTCCACTCTATCGAGAGGTTCGTTATATCGAAAAGTTCGTTATCTGTGAGGTTCGTTATATTACGGTTCATTAGACGAGGCTTTGTCATATGGTTAAAATCAATTTACTGAAGTTTGCTGCATAAACGATCATTTTATCGGGATAACTACATCAAGGTTTGCTCTATCAAGTTTGTAATGTAGTTATATGTACATTTAGAAATGCCTAGATTTCAGTAATTCCGTGGTTAGTTATCTTGTGCCACTTTTTTTCTCAGAAATTCACATGAAGACTTACTTTTCGCTGGATTGCGATCTGCATGCTCGAGTAGCTCGAGCTACTCGGATCAAATAGGTCTTCTTTGAATTTTTCATTCACGATTCGAAATGACACTCTTGACGTAAGGACATCTGAAAAAAAGGAAACAAAGAATAAAAAGTCAAACATGCGACTGTCATCTTCATCTTAATCGCCACCTTTCCCTGATGATCTTCAGAAAGCCCTTACAAATACTGAGAGTAAGTTAAGTTGTTTAGCTGTATGTAGGCAACATATGACAATGTCCCAAATCATTTAAGACAAATGTGTTTTCCAAAATGCTGGTATACCAGGTTCTTTCAACAAGAAAAGTTGTTTAAATCAGACATTTCTCGCGTGGATTTTTAATGGTTCTGTAAAATTAGTGCCCAGACCCTTCGTACACACATATTTTTGTAGTGTCATGGCGGCTGACACCCTGGTAGTTATTAATTTATTAGCTGTTCCACTGTCCAAAGGACATTGCTGGCGCATACAAAGAAATCGTGAAGGACAATTTGTTGATCCGTGCAGAAGTGAATGCAGCGTAACTTGGCCGGGTAATCAGAAAACAAACCACTCTCGCCCCAGAGCCGCTTGTCTCTCTTAGCCGGCGACGGCCTTGGAACGATGAAAAGGTGGCTCTGAAAATCAGCACTGAATTCAGTTGCGAAAATCTTACGCCAAGAGTCTAGCCAATCAAAATCATGTCTCTCCAGAGCAGTCAACTTTTCCTCATGCCAAGGTCCCGGCGGCTAAGAAGGGCAGACGGGTCTAGGGACGAGAATAAAAACAAACCTTTCAAAACAACTAAGGCTGGTTTTGATAAACTGCTTGTTAAAAATGTCGAGAAACTGCAATGATAGTCGCCTTGATCCTCATGTTGAAATTTGTCAATCTTCAGTTGGCTTCCTTCTCGTCCAACTGACTTTCCGTTCTTGTACCACGTGATCTTCACTTGCAGTGGACTGGAAGCGTTGCATGTTAGTACAGCTGGAGCGTTCTCCTTTAACTCTTGGGAGACTGGGTTCAAGGTAACGTTCGGTGGACCTACGGGGAGCAAAATAATGAACCAGTAACCAACCAACCAAACAAAAGAACATAAATACAGGAAAAGACACAGATTCGCAGTCAGAAAAACAGAAGACAGAAACACAGACAAGCCGTCACAGAGGGACCAACCGATCGACCAAACGACTGACCGACCGGCAGACACACAGACGGACAGATAGACAGACGGTCAGAGAACACAAAGATTCAAATGCAAGCAGACAGACAAACAGCTAATCAAACCAAGACAAAAAAAGACATAGAGACACGAAGAGAGACGGACAAATCAATTTCAAGCTAAGAGGAAAACCCTTTTNGTTGTGGGGTGCGCACGGTATGGGCAACAATTTTTTAACCTTGTTTAGTTAAACCACTTGCAAACATGTTTAACTTGTTAGTGTGAACAGGGTATTGCAAGTAACCACGTGACTTACCAATACAACTCAACGACTTCTGTATCACAGCTTCCATATTGTCAGGATCAAAGTCGCAATCAACTCTAAACTTCTCACTTGCGTTAACCGCCTCTCGCCATTTGTACAAATGCTCTAAACACTGCGCACTCGGGCAGGACGTCTGGCCATTGGCTGGTGAGACTCCGGTACAAAATCGTACGGCTTTGTTATAAATCACTCGAATATCTTTGCACTCATCGTCTGAAATAAATTTGAAATTTGCCGTGTTGTCAGTTTTTCCCCACTGATCGCTGTCAGTGTCACGCAAATTTTCAGATCAAATTCATCCCCATCCTTAAACGCGAAGTCTTGCGTTACTTTAATCTGTCCACTTAAACGCTGAATGCAGAAAAAGTTCAGTGGCACAATTGCGCCCGCCCAATCGCATATAAGTAGGTCGGGTCACAAAGATAGTGTTGTATGATCATAAACTCCAGTGCGTTCATGTTGATTCGCATGCCCACTGATCAAATTTAAAACTGCTCAAATTTTAACGAGAAAGAATGAGAGCTTTCGCTGGTGTAAGAAATGAAAAAAAATTACCCTGACTTTGTAAAATTGGCATCAAAAACTCAGCAGAGTATGTTTGTATAGTTCTAGCGCTATACAAGTCTATTATTATTATTATTATTATTATTATTATTATTATTATTTATTATTATTATTGTTTACTAGGGCTTTTAGGTACTAAAACATCTAGGATGAGTCCCCAGAGTCAACCTGTCTTGCCATATTTCGGATCAGAGAGTGTATTGTGGCAATACACTGTCTTCCTTTTAACAAAACTTAACCCTTCAAGAGGCATTTGAAGTCGTCGTACAGCTAAATGAAGGAATTCAAAAGAGTGGAACTTGATGGTAACGCAGGGCAAAAATTTCAAACTTCTAAGACAAATTTTCTTATTGTTCAATTTATTAGGAAGAGAGGGAGGATCCTGGGAACAAGGTTGACTTAATTAGAGTGCGTGTGCTTAATGCATGACCTGGCTTGCATGCGCAGTCAGAAGAATGCACACCGGCAATAAGAGCGCATGTCCTTAGCTAAAACATAAGCTTACAGGGTTCGTGCGGGTCCTGGAAAACCTAGAAAGTCCTGGAATATTACTGTCGCATTTTCCAGGACTGGAAAGTCCTGGTAAAGGGCTACTGGTCCTGGAAAGTTCTGGAAATCTGTTAAACTCAAGTAAAAAATATGAAATGTATGGCAGACTGTAAGGAGAATTAACATCGAGATCTTGGGAGTGAAAGGGTTAATGTGGATTTTAGAGTCCTGGAAAAATCAATCTGAGTCCTGGAAAAGTCCTGGAAAAGTCCTGGAAATTTGTTTCTGAAAAAGGGTACGAACCCTGAGCTTAGGTTACCTGAGCAGTTGGACTTGCTTATCATCGCTGTCTTGCCGAATGTCTGTTTCTTTCCTGGGCAATTTTTACACGATGTTTGACCTTGCTCGTCCTGATAAGTGTCAGAAGGACAAGGGACACAAAAGCTACCTGGAACGAACTTAAATCCAGCGACACAACCTATAAATTNGTACTGCTGTATCACAGCTTCCATATTGTTAGGATCAGAAGCGCAATCAACTCTAAACTTCTCACTTGCGTTAACCGCCTGTCGCCATTTATACAAAGGCTTTAGGCACTGCGCAGTCGGACAGGGCATTTGACCATTAGCCGGCGAGACCCCGGAACAAAATCGTACGGCTTCGTTATAAATCACTCGGATATCTTTGCACTCGTCACGTGATATCAATTTGAAGTTTGCCGTGTTTGCAGTTTTCCCCCACTGGTCGCTGTCTGTTACGCGAATTTTCAGATCAAATTCGTCCCCATCATTAAACTTGAAGTCTCGTGTTACTTCTATCTGTCCACTCAAACGATGAATGCAGAAATAGTTCAGTGGCACGATTGTGCCAGCGTCTTCGCATACGTCAACAATGTCACGCCGTCGTCGTCTTTTTAAGCTGCCGCGTGACTGCATTCCACGTTGTGTGACACTGTCAATATAAAATATGAAAGGTTGAGCCAGGGAAGACAGTTGCCCTGTAACGGTAACATTCGCGACAACAGTACCAGACGTGATACCATAAGGTAGGTAAACCTTCAGCTTACGGAGTTGCAGAGGGTTTGTGTCTGTAAGAGAAAAAAAAGCATAACATTCTATATGAGGTTCTTGTCTGTTCCATTAAAAAATAAAAGGAGAGGGGACTAAGAAGTAGTTTCTAGTCTCCTTTCCTATTTTCGTATCAAGAGGCTACCAAACTTCAAGACATGACGACCAAATCACTTACAAAAAGCCAATCACTTCTGGAGGAACTAGCTGACTTAGTGACTACTGTGACATATGCGGGAATTCTCTTTGTAACAGAACTACAGATTATGCACCAGGATGTAAGTACGAGGGTGTGTTGTGCCAATATTTCCAAATGATGTCATCCTTTTCAATAACGAGGCATTTGAAGTCATCGGGCAGCTAAACGAGAGAATTCAAAAGAGCGACATTCGATGGAACGTGAAGCAAAACTTTCAAACTTCTAATGCAATTTATTATTTAGAGTGCGCTTGCGTGATGCATGACGTGGCGTGTGAATTGCGAGCGCATGAACGATGCGCATAAACCATTACAGCGAACGTGAATTTTGTTATCGTCACAAGCTAGTTACCTGAGCAGTTGGACTTGCTTGTCATCGCTGTCTTGCCGAATGTCTGTTCATTTCCTGGACAATTTTTACACGACGTTTGACCTTGCTTGTCCTGATAAGTGTCAGAAGGGCAACGGACACAAAAGCTACTCGGAACGAACTTAAATCCAGCGACACAACCTAAAAAANTTCAGTGGCACGATTGTGCCAGCGTCTTCGCATACGTCAACAATGTCACGCCGTCGTCGTCTTTTTAAGCTGCCTCGTGACTGCATTCCGCGTTGTGTGACACTGTCAATGTAAAATATGAAAGGTTGAGCCAAGGAAGACAGTTGCCCTGTTAAGGTCACATTCGCGACAACAGTGCCAGGCCTGATACCATAAGGTAGGTAAACCTTCAGCTTACGGAGTTGCAAAGGGTTTGTGTCTGTAAGAGAAAAAAAAACATAACATTCTATATGAGGTTCTTGTCTGTTCCATTAAAAAATAAAAGGAGAGGGGACTAAGAAGTAGTTCCTAGTCTCCTTTCCTATTTTCGTATCAAGAGACTGCCAAACTTCAAGACATGACGACCAAATCACTTACAAAAAGCTAATCACTTCTGAAGAAACTAGCTGACCTAGTGACTACTGTGACATATGCGGAAATTCTCTTTGTAACAGAACTACAGATTGTGTACCAGGATGTAAGTACGAGGGTGTGTTGTGCCAATATTTCCAAATGATGTCATCCTTTTCAATAAAGAGGCATTTGAAGTCGTCGGGCAGCTAAACGAGAGAATTCAAAAGAGCGGCATTCCATGGAACGTGAAGCTAAAAACTTTCAAACTTCTAATGCAATTTATTACTTAGAGTGCGCTTGAGTGATGCATGACGTGGCGTGTGAATTGCGCGCGCATGAAGGATGCGCATAGACCATTACAGGGAACGTCCATTTTGTTATCGTCATAAGCTAGTTACCTGAGCAGTTGGACTTGCTTGTCATCGCTGTCTTGCCGAATGTCTGTTCATTTCCTGGACAATTTTTACACGACGTTTGACCTTGCTTGTCCTGATAAGTGTCAGAAGGGCAACGGACACAGAAGCTACTCGGAACGAACTTAAATCCAGCGACACAACCTAAAAAAAGCGGAAAAAAATCAGTCTTAGATTTGGCAAGCCTGGAAGCCCATCACTTCTACTTCCTTAATTAATTAGCTTTAGCCTCTTTCTCAAGGCGAGTCTTGGTGCCCATCCTCTCATATGAATATGCGATTTCATTCACATACAAATTAACCTCATTTCCATATGAATGATTGAGCACCAGGCCTCGCTTTAATAGAGAGACTTGAGGCAACTCGGAAATGGGCTATTTGTCCAAAAGTATAGAGAGGCACTAAAGCCTGGTTTTCACCAGCAACGCAAGCACAACCGTAAGCACAAACGCTTGCAATAGGGATGACCCAAGTAAAAACGAAATTCGACGCAAACACAAGCACAAGCAAAATCATCCGCGCCTTCCAATCTGTTTAGGTGCGAGGTAATCTGGATCCAGTGTTTTCACTGGCCGAACATAACCACGTGTGGTATATATCCCTGTGCTTGTGTTATGCCTGAGCGGAATTTCGTTTTCACTTGTTGCAGCGCCAACGCAAGCGTAAGCGCAAGCGCAAGAAAAAGGAAAAATTTTGATCCTTGTGCTTGTGCTTGCTCTTGTGCTTATGCCTGCGTCAAGGCCGTTTTCACGGTGAAATAAGAATTATTGTGTTTGCGCTTGTGCTTGCGTCGCTAGTGAAAACCAGGCTTAAGTGTGTCTAGGATAAGAAGCGCAGTGATTCCTTTGAAAACTATATTAAAGACTGTACGTGCCCAAAGTCTTTGTACAGATAAAATCCCTTCTAAACCCTAATTTCATTTAACTATACACTTCAAGTGTGCATTCTCTTCATCAAACAAAATTGTTAGCAAAAAATAACTGCCGCGAGAGTTCGCTCCAGGCCCTCGCAAAACTTCGAAGGAGCCTCATCTTGAAGAAGACCAGTGAAGCTGGTAGAAATCTATTTTAGCTGCGATGATATAAATTGTTGTCAATCCATTTCTAGCTACTCTGATGAGACTTTTACAAGATCCGTCTGAAGTACTTTGTTCAAAGACATTGTCTCCCAATTCTTGAAAAAAAAAATTTCAAGTTAGGAATGTTAAGTGAGTTTGAGATCAGAAGTTCTAGAAATAAACGGCAAAGGTAAAAAAAAAAAGAAGATTCTTACCACATTTAGTGCTGGACACCTTGATTGAGCCCGCAGCACAACAAGGCGGCGGTATATCCATCAAACTGCAGCTTGAACATCTATTTACCATTAAATTCCCCTCTGATATAAACTATTGTTTGAATTTTATACTAGAACCATTCTTTATTAACCACGCTTAGCCGCTGGCTGAGAATTGATCTTGTTCTGTTTGAAGAATGCGCCTCGGTTGAGGCGGAACACACAAAGATAACGGACACTTTACATTGTGTACTGATTCTAAAACCAAAGGCAGAAAAATTTCTAATGCAAGAACTAAGTCCATAGAGCACAGTATTAAACAAGTTCCGTTTACGAGATGGGCGCAAATCTTCAAAGGTAAAACAGAATTCTAAAATACAACGAAAGGCAACTAAACAACATTATTTCCTCTTCGAAAAACAACGACACTTGTCATGGCCAGATGTCAGAAAGAGCGATTCCAGTCAATAAATCTTGGTAACTGCATGAACTTTTGAGATATTTAATTGTGATTACTTAAAATGTTAGCACAAAAGCCGAGGAAGGAGGAATGCTAAAACAAGTTAAATTAGTAAACACTTAATTATAGTTTGCTAATGAAATAATGCAAATGTAAATTAAGTTCATGAAACTGTCTTCTGGCCCCAGTTGTTCAAAGGCTGGATAACGCTATCCACCGGAAAAATTGCTATCCAGTGGATACGTGTTAACAAAATAAACAATGCTGTACGCTGAATAGTGAGTTATCCGGTTATCCCTCCATCCAACTAGGGCCAGGTGATTAAAGCATTATTCCAAATCAAGGAAAAAGAATCATCTATTCAAACCCATTGAACTGGCAAAGTGCAAAAAGCAAGCACAATTAACTATCTCAACAACACAGAGCGAAGAAGCCTTCACGAGTCAGAATCGAGCAAAGATGAATCACACTGCACTCAACACAACCTTATCTAGTTGTAGTTTTTCCTTCAGTCCTCTAAATCCCGCAAACATCTCTCCTGATCTTCGCGCTGTATTCATCGCCAGAATCGTCGTGAACGCTGTCACCTGTCCTCTCATCATTTTGCTCAACATCCTGGTGATAGTTGCAGTGAAAACTAAACGACAGCTTCGCACCAAATCTAATATAGCACTCGCCTGCTTATCCACAACTGACCTTGTCATTGGATTAGTTGTTCAACCTCTACATATTGCCAGCGCAAGTTTACTTCTCAAAGGTGAACAAAACATGTTTTGTACTTTAACAGACCTTTCAAACACAGTCATAATTACATGTTTACTGGCTTCATTTTATCATTTCATTTTGATGAGCGCCGAACGTTATGTTGCGATAAAACACCCCTTCACATACGAGACCCAGGTCACTGAAATTCGCATCATCGTGGCCTCTTGTCTGGCGTGGGCTGCAGCCATCATCCTCTACAGCAAAAACCTTTTGACCATTGCAATTCTAGTAATTTTTCAAATGCTGCTTGCCGTTGTGGCTGTTTACTTTAATGTTTCAGTTTATAAGGAAGTCCGTCGCCAAGAGACACAAATTGCTGTTAACCAAGTTTCCTTACAAGCCAAGAAGAAGCTACTTAAGAATAAGAAAGCTTTTTACACAACACTTATTGTACTACTAGTTATTTTGCTGTGTTATATTCCGACGCGTATCTGTATTGTTGTTCTTCTTCTATCTAAAGAAAAAATTCCCGAAAACGTAAGACATATTGCTATTTATCTTTTACCTTTAATGCCAGTATTGAATTCGTTGTTTAATCCGTTAATTTACGCTGTGAGAATAAGACACTTTCGCGTGGCTCTCATTCAGTTGTTGTCGAGAAAAACTATTGCACAAGCCGAACAACTTGAAAGGAAAATCTTTGGACCAAGAGTGTGGAGTCAGCGCAAATGCCGAGCTTGGACAGGGTGGCGCTCGCCGACAAGATGCGTGGCAAGAAAATGATTAAATAAACAACGAATATGACAATAAACAGCGAATACAGGCACGAAACGAATATGAAGAAACGCTTCTGTAGGAACATTTATAACTATCTCAATGACGTAGCTATTTCCTAGAAAATTATTTTGAAAATTTCATTCATGACATCGTTATTGATGAAAAAAAAAAAGACAGGCGCGGTACGGTGGTCTCATGGTTAGTGCGCTCGTCTCCGGATCGGTTCGAGCCCTGGCCGAGGACACTGCGATGGGTTCTCTCCATCAAGGTGTATAAATGGGTACTGGCGAACTTAATGCTGGGGGTAACCCTGCGATGGACTAGCATCCCATCCATGGGGGAGTAGAAATACTCC